ATTTACATGTTTAAGTATCTTTTGGACGCTACTGTACGTATTATATATATATTTATATCGCAAACCCCAGTGGCGGCTCGTGGTTTATAGAACTGACCGGCGTTCATTCACGTCGACTATTTTCCCCTCCCCCACCCCCTTCCTTCACAACACACACACACACACACACACACACACACACACACACACACACACACACACACACACACACACACACACGTGCGCGCGCGCGCGAACACTCACACACACACACACACGCACGCACACACACACACACACGCACGCACATACACACACATGCTCTCTCTCTCTCTCTCTCTCTCTCTCTCTCTCTCTCTCTTTCTCTCTCTCTCTCTCCTTATTTTATACCCCCACTTTCGCCATCCCCACCCCCTCCCCCACTCACACACACACACACACACACCACAATAAACATTGTAATAATGTGAAATAGCTAAAATATGCGGTAACGTCAAGATACAATATTATGAATAATGTAAGATGGAAGTTACTGAGATTAATAGAAACTCACTTGATCGGCACAGAAAAAGAAACACTACTTGAGTCTAGGCTAGAAAATAAACTGAAAGTGAGAAGCAATAAAGTACTTTACTCGTACTTTCTACACCCCCACCCGAAATATCGACGTGCACTGGACCTGTTAAATATATGTAATAAGAACTGTCCTGTATGATGACAAAAAGTCAATTGCTACTGTACCAGTGACGGTGTCCCAACCAGATCAAGTCTACAATCAGATGCTATACAAAGCTGGACAAAGCACACAAGTTCCCGATCATTATATCATCCAATGTACTTCATCGCACTTCTCAGTTCTCAAAATTGAACACTGAACACTGTGCTGTAACAAAGTGGGGAAGTGTGTCAAATGCTAATTATAGAACTTGGTGTCTAGCTGAGGTGAGGGTTGAAAAGGGGAGGGAAGGGAGGGGGTTTTCGGCCCAGACTCTGACAGCCGAGTGCATATCGCTCCTCGTTAAAATTCACCTTATATATATCAATGATAGTGCATAACAAGATGGGCCACTCAGCCAAAAAAGTGTCCGCAGGAAGTATGCTCTTTGCTTCAGATGGCGCTGCAGTCTGTTTTGAAGCTCTCTTTCGTTTTTCCAGAAGAAGAATAGGAATAGCACCTCCTTGCGTGCGCAGATCGACTGCTGTTCATCAGCAGTTCGGGTACGTACAGTGTGGAGTTTTATTATTTTTTTTATTTTAATGACCTCTCGCCTTTCATTCTAAAGTCAAATTAAACGAAGAAAACCATCACCCTTTCCTCCGGAAGAGGTTTTTTGTCAGCGTAACCATTTTAAAAAAGCGTTCTTCCGAAATTTATCCCAAAACTTGCTAGTTTCACTTTGATTTTTAAAAACTCAAGTAGGGTAACTCTGTTCGCAAAGAGTGCGCTTTTGTGAAGAGGGCGCCACCAAATTTTTTTGAGGACACTTTTTTAATTGGCTCAAAGAGAGAAGTGGCCCATCTTGTTATGTACTATCTTTGTATATATTCACTAGACGATTCCTTCTTTCGCCGGCCAGACTCCTAAGGGCCAGGTAAGTTATTAGTGGGGGAGAAAACGATGAGCAAATGCCAAACAGGAACTATAGGTGGTTAAAAAGTCAATAAACAAAAAAGATTAGTGCCATGCTGACAATAAATTTTCTGATAGTAGTTAGAGAAAGGCTGAATGATAAATACATGTTTTGCTGATAAAATAATACATGTATCTATGCTGCTCAAGACAGTCTCATTCTTTATTTTGTAAGCTACAAAGAGGCCAATCTGGCAAGTAAGGGATGTACTTATCGCTTTGAGAGCTGACGATGGATTTGTCCATGGGACTGACGTCATCACTAGGCCTAAGCCAAGCCCGCCGTGTGTTTGGCCTCGTACGTAGTACGAAGTTCCGCGACGTGACGGCTTGACGGGAGACGATTTAAAGTTACGAGCCGGCGCGATAACAAACGTGAAGGACTGAGGTTATGTCGCGACAAAACTCAAAACAGCACTGAATTCCACTTGTCTATTTGAGCGCCTTCTAATCGGCAAGGTGTTATTGAATGTTAATACATGTTTGTTTGGATTTACTTAAAACTGAATGAAAATCGTCATCAGCAATAAACGTCTAGTCCACAGTTCAGTTGACAAAAATCTGACCGGCACCGCCGGTCTTGCCCAGTTAACAAACCGCCCCTGGCAAATCCTTTCTCTACCTCTCATTCTCTTTCTTTCTTTGTATCTCTCTTTCTTTCTCTCTCACACACAGACATACACAGGCATACTCACATGCACATAACACAGACAGACAGACAAACACACACACGCACACACACGCACACACACACACACACACACACACACACACACACACTCACACACACACTTACACGCACACAAACGTTACACCAGCCGTCAAGCTTTTAAAAATCTCTTCTTAGAAATCTTAACCCCCCTACCCAGAGTAAACAGCCCATCACATTAACTGAATATACTGGCGATAAAAAAAGCACCACCCTACATGTTTGATCCCTTCGTCTTTCGTGTAGAAAGACAATGATTTTTTCGACCACGAAATTGAAATATGATAAATCAAGGTAGGAGGTTCATCTTTTAGAAAAAACACGTTTTTCATGATTGATATAATTTGACAACAGGGGTAAAATCCAAGTCACAGATCAGTACAGCGTGTGATCTTCATGTGCATTCAGCACACCAGTGTATCTCCTGGGCTTAGAGTACGCAAGTCTGGCTGCAAACGGTTGTTTCAGAGAATGGTGAGAGCATGCTGCAACTGTAAAATGGTCCTGGGACCTGGATTCACATCACCAGCTACACCAATAATTCTGTTCCACAAGTGCTCAACTGCGTAGGGTTCAAAGCTGGTGAAATGGCAGGCCGTGGATTCATTACAGAGGCATTATTCAGGGTTTTTGAGTGTAGTGCAAGGTGTACGGGCGCATTATTCTGTTGGAATGTCGTGGGCTGATTGTGTTAAAGAAATGGAAGATAATGCCCACGTGTTCTCTAAGCACTTTTATACTCCCATCGTGGCGTTCAAATTGGAATTGAGAATCGGTCGAGAAGGTCACGGTATCCCGCCCACTGCTCTAGGTCCATCAGCGGTATAGCTGTGACCAGTTTATCCCAGCCTCATGGTGTTTTGGCTATAAACATAGTCTCTGTGTTGGCATTCTAGCTACAATCTTGAATTCCCTCAGTCTGAGACGAACTGTATGCTGGCTGACGAGTAAAAGTACAGAAAATTGTCTAGCGGCTTGAGCAGTGCTCCTGACACGATTTTTCTGGTGCTCTGTCCTGAAAGATCGATCTTGAGCTGGCATTGTTTACCCTTGGGCGACCAGTTCTGAGTCGGTCTAACAACGGCCAAGTCACAACGTACCGTTGTCTCAGTAGGCTGATAGTCCTTCTCCTCACGTTGAACGTCCTCGCAATAGCAGTGCCGAGCACGTCGACGGCTTAATTTTTTAAATCGTGATTATCGATTGCAAATTGTTAATGCAGTTTTAAGTAAGCACAGACCTAAACTTTATTTAAAAAAAAAAACAAACAAAGAATAGATACAATCCGCCAGGTGGTCAGGAAAGCATCCGAATTTATTTTTTTGGTGGTGGTCCTGTAACGCTAATTGAAGCAACCAAATATTATTTTAATAAGTTGACCTACTTTTCAGAGCACTTAGTACTACTCACGTGAAAGATCAAGCGTAAAGACATAAACGATTAGATTTTAAACACAATCCAAAAGCGGTGCCTTTCTTTTGATCTCCAGTATATTATTGCCTTGGTAAGAAGTTCGATATGCTGTCAATGAACTCTCCCACTATGACATAGATCTCAAACTCTCGGCCCGAGAAAGTCCGAGATACTCAATAATAATTTTCCTCACTCAAGAATCGAAGTTGGGTCTCCTTCATGAGACAGCGAAGCCACTTACCTCAACACCGCAGAGGCCGATGGCGTGTCCTCGAGCAACTCACACTAACCTTAGCTCAAGGACTTGCCTTAGCTCAAAAACAGGGGCTGCACAGTGATGACCAGCAGTGGTGTATTGTTTGTCTATGTCTGGGATAATGACAATGTGTATTATTTATGAATTATTTATGTATTAATGTATTTGGGGGTTTATATTCTACGCCATTGTAAAACAAATTTCACAAGGGGATCAATAAAGTGACACTCATTTATGTTTATTTCTATTGAATTCTATCTTTATTTAGTGGTATACATGTACCTGTTTTCTAAAGACATAGTGACAGCAAGACTCGTCAATTGATCGCGACTCTTGTGACGGTTTGAAGCAATATACGTACATGTACACGAACTATGATGATCTAAGCCACAGGCTCTTGGCTGTCGTGCTGAAGGCACACGGCAGCTAGTGTGATATATTCACATGGGTGCATGTACATGTTTTAGATATGTGGAATTGTCATTGTGCTCTCTCACTCATGATGATGGATGGAAGTACATTTCAACATAGCCTCTGTTTAAGCGAGGGTTGGGCTTGTCGTGGCTCTAGACTCTTGACAAGGATGTGATAATACAAACAGAGGAAGAGGGAAGTGTGAAGGGAAATATGTCCGGATAAACAATTTTACTCTTGAAAGTGTAAGTAAGAGTGTTGAGGCAAAGTTGTTTTGTTCGGCTTTTAAACGCTAGACGCTATTATAGCGTCATGGTGTGTACCCCCCCCCTCCAAAAATATAATAAAATGAAAACAAAACAAAACAAACCACATGCTAGAAGATGATTAATGAATTGATAAAGATAGTAAGTCTATTTTTTCCAAACATTACCAAACTTATGTTCACTCTTCCAGCTTGTCCTGTCCATCTAACTGATGCATAGGCATCCCCCTGTCACAAAATAAATGAAGATGTTCTTGTTCTTGAAACACGGAGATCTGATAGTAGAACACAATGGCCAAATTTTAAACTGTCAATGTACTATTCTATTCTCCAGAGGGACGCAAATTCTTTTCTTGAAGGAGCAACGGAAATACCAACTACCTGATTCTCCATCTTCTACCGGACTGGTCAATACAAGTAGCTACTGTTGCTGTCGAAATGATGACGTTTAAATTCCTTTCAATATTCAAGTCAAGTTCAAATAAGTAAACGAACGTGTCACTTTGTATTTTTTTAAATTAAAAAAACCCAAACATTCCACGGGCAAAACAATATGTGTTGTTTTCGTGCCGTTTTGCTTCCATATTGTGAATTTGCATTACATTCAAAGGTTGAAGTGCCATAAAACTAAAACAAGGGATCTCAAGGTCACAGAAAACAAATTGCCTACTTATAATTTGTGATATGGAAATGGAATGTTGAAAATTTCACTCTCATTGTGTCATTATTTTAAAATGTTTGTTAGTGATGAATGCAACCTAAGAAACTAAATATGTCTGACAATGCAATTTTTGACACTTTAGTGACAGCTGGCGCTCATATCACCTTATGCAGTTACGAGCGCCGTAAAACCTCTACTAAAACTTTTTAAAAACACAACTTTAGTGACAGTATTGGTCTAATTAATTTCTAACACATCTAGCTTTTGGTGTATGTCTTTGCAACATATGTTTTGAAAATATAAATATTTGCTTTATTCATACAAAAATATTTTAGTTCTCTAGATATCAGATAATGTGAAATATTTTTAGTCACTAGAAGATAACTTTAGAACATAATATAACCTTTTCCCGATGTTGATGAAACTAATATCGAATTTCTCGTTTCTACTAGTGGTTTCTGATAGAAATAGAAAATGTTCAACCAATTTAAAAATCACAAATGGTACCTTATGATTTTTACAACAAGCAAGTTTGTTTGGCTTCATGTACATATGTATGGTTTTTTTTCTCCTAAAAATAGTGAATACCATAGCAGGTCGGCTTAGAGTCCTGGCACGATGCAGAGACGGTGTACCACAGAGACAGCTTAGTTAAATATTTTCCTCAGTAAAGCGGCTCTCTTTGGTTCCCTCGCGACTCTTACAAACGACGTACAGACTGAAGACGGGAAAAGCCTGTCACTCTGGGTTCCACTTTACATTGTAGTTCTTTGGTTTTGGGGCTTACTCTAAAAGATTTCCAAGTGCATTTCAGTCAGGTTTTTAGTGAAATGACTATTTTTTTGGACAACTTGCAATGTAGACTTGATTAATTGTTTGTTTCTATGGGAATAAATTGAGTGAAAGGCAGTACTTAAAGAATACTAGTTTCTGGAAAGGAGATCTTAATTTTTTTTTCTCGAAATTGTGGACTCCATTCAGCTCTATTTTTTTCAAAACCCGAAATATTGACGAGACAGTCTCTAGGTATTCTGCTATCTCGTAAAATCAAGCCTGAGAGAAAAGTAAGATTTTAAGCTTTTGTTGTTTAGAAACAAAAAAGGGAACCAAATATATTAGTGACAAAAGCTTCGAACTTCGTCATTTCGACGAAAGCTGGCAGAACCTTAAAGGACTTCAGAAGTATTTCGTTCCGAGATGAGGAAAAATCGAAAGTTGCTTTTAGGTATTCGACAACGTTTTGATACCCCTTTCCAATCGGTTTCTCAATTTGAGCCTGTCCCCAATTATTCCTCAATAGAGAATAGCTTAAGTAAGACATCTTCCTCCTCCCTGGCCTGGTGGGATAACCATGTATTATGAAGCAACACTCCTGTTTGTACTCTAACCAATTGTTGAGCAACTTTGAAACCAGCAAGTAAACATCAATATTGCAAAATGCTAATTCAATTTATGAAGTTAATGCTTATTTACTTAAAAAACGTAAGAGTACCTAAAGGCCCCTACTTGATATTTCGTGTAGCTCTCACGACTTCATCACTCCTTCTCTCTTTCTTATGTGACAACCGTGATTTCCCCCACGGCATGCTATAGTGACAGTGGCCTGTTTCTTGTTGCTCACCTATGAATTGTTTTGTTGTGGTGTAAGTTGTGAGTGTCCTCCCTTGCACGCGCATTCGTCTATGTGAGTGTGTGTCCTCGCGTGTTTGTGCGTTTACACAAGTGCGTTTGTGTCTTCAAAATAATGCACATTGTTCATGTTAAACTTTCTTATGATGTGCTGTGCTTATGGCTACGTTTTACCGGCGAGGTTTTAAATTTTTTTTTTTGATTTAAAGTACAGATTATGTAGTAAAATATTAATCCACTGGAATTGAGGAACGAAATGTGCACAAAAGTAAGCCCTGGACATAGGGTTTCGGATATCTTAAGGCTAAAGCTATGTGTTTTACCTGCAAACACAATGAATAGCCTATATGTGCAAAATATACTGCAATTTTAGATTAAGTTCCATTTCCCATTGTCTTTTCCTCTTAGTTTTTGTGTGTTGCACTAGAGTATATTATATTAAGGTGTAGTTCTTTTCCTTCCTAGGGCTTATTAAATACATTAAAACAATTTTGGCTTGGTTTTAATTCATTTTTGTGTGTGTGTGTGTGTGTGTGTTTGTGTGTGTGTGTATGTGTGTGTGTGTGTGTGTG